ACCCCCATAAGCCAGACAGGACTAGTGACAACAGACAAGGAGAAGGCTGAGGTACTCAACAAGTGTTGGTCTCAATTTTTACTGCCAGTCACTATTTCTACATCTCTCAGGTTATTGGACTGGTGGACTTGATTCTAACCCATAGTAGCAGGTCAGCTTTCAGACCACTTGAGGAACCTGAGCATGCAAGACCATGGGACTCACCCAGAGGCATGTCAGGGCCCTGAGAGAACTGGCAGCTGTAGTTGCTAAGGTGCTTCTGACTTGGATTTGAAATTGATATTGCTTTGAGTGCTTTTTTGGTTTTATTTTCATTTTTATTGAGTTGTTTGTTTTTGTTAAAGAGTATTTTGGCTCTTGGTGGAATTTATTGAACAGATTCTAGATGAGGGTAATCTGACCCTTTAACAATGTTATATGAGTAGCACGTTTCACAGTGCTTTAAAACACAGGGCAGATGAAATGGTTACAAATATTTTCTATCTAGAGAAAAGTACAGGAATAAACTGTTGATTAAAAAACACAGGCTCCAGTGTAACTGTCTTTGCATTGGTGAGGAAGAAGAGAAGCTTGCCTGCTAATGGACCTAATTCTGGCCTTAAGTCACAACTAACAAGTTGTACATTCATGTGCAAGGGCAAACCTAAATGAAACATAAAATGCTGTTCTTCATGATAGGGCATCTTATTTTCTGTTCCATCAATTATACTAGTAATTTCCTTAACCTGCAGCATGCAGTCTGTGACTTATTTTTGGTTGATATTCTTGACTAAAACCAGAGAAGATAAAAATGACATGGCATATGGACTGCCTGGTACTTGGGGAAGAGTGAGTGGGAAGGTGGTAGTTGCTTTTTCTAGAAAGACTCCTCTGATGCAGGTTTTGTTTCAGCCATGGCACCTGGGGAATATTCCAGTGTTCTCATGAGTATATTTTATAGCACTTTGAAGGAGGAGGCAGAGTCATGGTATTTTAATACAGAATTGAGCCACAGTTTTTTAAGCAGATCAAGATGCTTCCTGGGCTAAAGTAAATAAAATTATGGTAGAACACCAGAATCCTTCGTTCATCTGAAAATGGCAAAACATGTATTTAAGATCAATTACTGTTGTAGAATGACAAGTAATTTTTTTTCCTGCTTACCGAGTGAATGCTTGCTTTGATTTTTTATTTTCTACTTTTTCATTACAAAATTGTTTTTCCATTTACAAGCATCAAAGGAGGTGCTCATTCTAGTGGGATATGGAGTTATGATTGTTAAAGTGGTTAAGGCTTATGCTCACCAGAAGGCCCTGTGGGGAAGGCACAGCTGCAGGCTGGAGGCTTGGAAGTCAGCTGAGGAGTGAGAGGCAGTTGAGAGTGAGGAGAAAGTCAGGTAAGTGACAGCTGGGAGTGAGATTCCTGAATCGGGACCTATAAAGGCCATAGGCGTGTGGGTTGCTCTGGTAGCAGCTTCCACTGTGTTAAGGAATCAGTCAACCAGGAAGAGTTTGGGAAGGAACTCAAGGAATTCAAGTGCATGCACCTCACCTATCATGTGAGTAATCAGTGGAAGCAGTATGGGGGGTGGAACGTCCCTGGAAAAAAGGAGCTTGGACCTTGCAGCTCCTACACTGGCAAACTATTGACATTGCCAGTGCAAAATTAAACACCCTGCTGGGCTGGGTGTCCAGTCACATTAAAGATTTTCCCTTTAGTGGGCCCTTTCAATCAGAAGCCTGGCAAGTGTTAGGGCAGAGACTTTTTGATATCGCCAGGGAGGGCAATGCCAAAGCTTGCGGGCACCTTGCTGCATGGGGGACAATCATGGCAGCCATTAAAGGAAATCATGCCATCATGTCGGCCATTGTGAGGCTTCAGAAGCCAATTCCCCTGAGCCTTCAGTGCCACTAGAACCCATATCAAATACATCAGGCTACCCTGAGATTAACCCATAACCTGCTTTACCCCAATAAAAATTCCTGCATGGTTGGCCCCCATGGCGCAGAATTCCCATACCACAAGCAAGCATCGGACTCACTTCTTGCCCAGAATGATGATGTTGTAACCTAGTGCTGGCAGAAGTGTAGGGAAGCTGTGATGGAGGAAGGAGGCCTGGCAGTCATTATTGCCTGTCTGGTTATATATGCACCAGACCAATGCCCGGCTTTCAGGGAACTAGACTATAAAGTAATGAAAGAGCTGAGGATGCTAGTGAAGGAAAGTGATCTTCCTATCACGGCCTAAGTTATCTAGAGTCCATAAGGACTGTGTATATCCTCATACCTAGTGACTGGGAAGGCATAATGAGAATGATCTTAACAATGACAGAGTTCTCAGTCTGGCTCACCGATTACCGTGAGCTGTGTATGACCCAGGTGGAAGTGCTGCAGGACAGAAACCCACAAATGGTTGCACAGCTGACCAGAGAGGAGCTGTGTGCAGTCCCTACAGCGCAGGCAGGCTGCCCGTGTGATGTGTATGATATCATCACCTGCCTAGCCCTGCAAGCCCAGCAGCGACTCCCAGGGACAGGTATCGATTCTAATGTGTCTTGCACTAAGATTTTACAGGGTCCAACAGAATCATTTGTACAGACAGTCTGGACAGACTGCAAGGCACCTTCTCCTGGCAAGTTGATAGCTGAGGCCAGATGAGGACAGAGCTATTCTGTTGTGGTAGCTTGCTTTCATAAATGGGAATGAAGACTGTAGAACAGCATTGCTCGAAGTTCATAGCCTGCACACTTGTGACATAGCAAATATGGTTAGGGCATGCCAAAATGTGAGAAGTGCTGCTCATCAGACAAACTCTCTGGCCACGGCTTTAGCTGCTCACTTCTAAGTTCTGAACACACAGACAGGAGGTTGTTTTAACTGTGGTTCAATCAATCATTTTAAAAGGGATTCCCCTCAACAAAGGGAGAGGATAAAAATACTACCTAGAAATTGTCCCTGGTGTGGAAGAGGCAGGCATTGGGCTACTGACTGCCATTCACAGTACTCTGTAAAAGGGAAGGCTGTACAACTGGGAAACTTCTGGCAGGGGATGAGCCCGTGCACCCTGGAGATTCAAAAAAATGCGAGGCAAAACATTCGGCAAGCAAGCTCCTGCCTGCAAACACAGGCAGTGCAGGGCTGGACCTCACCTCCAGAGGGTCAGTAACTCTCATGACATCTTCCTGGTTCCTAATAGAGTGTGTGTACTCCTTGGTAATAATATGCATGCCTTACTAATAGGGCGTTCCACTTCCACTAAATTGGGGCTTTTTGTGCTGCCTGGAGTTACTGATTCAGATTATGAATGTGAAATACAAATTATGCTATGGACTCCCATACCACCCTGCTTTATACCTACAGGTCAATGCATTGCACAACTTACTCCTTTTTTCCAACAAAGCCCCTAGTGGGAAGGGTAAATGTGGCACAAGTAACTTTGGTAACACAGGTCGGCCACAGATTTTCTGGACAAGCTCCATTACAACAACTCAGCCAACCTTGACATGCAGTATAAATGGCAAAAAATTTAAAGGGCTTGTTGATACTGGGTCTTATGTCTCTATTATTAAATGCAGTGAATGGCCTAGTAATTGGCCCACAGTCAGTCTCACATTGACCCTAATTGGGATGGGAGGAATGCAGCGCCCTAAACAAAGCACTCGCCTTCAGCTTGTCCTTGGCCCTGATGGGCAAACTGCCTGGATTACCCCATTCATTGCTGCCATACCATGGACATTATGGGGAAGAGATGTTCTGGGGCAATTTGGAACCACCAAACAAATAGACTCAATCTTGCTGAGAAACCTGTTTCATAGGGGCCATTGATCAGCCATTCCAAAACCAAATACTGGACATATGTAAGCTCATATGGCAGACTTAAGACCCTGGAACACCCTTGTATTCTGTATACCTAAGAAAAATTACAAATGGTGATTATTGCAGGATTTACAGGCAGTAAATGCAGTTATTGAACCCATGGGTGCTCTACAACCTGGGCTTCCATCACCCACAATGCTTCCTCTCAATTGGCCCGTGGTAATTTTAGATCTAAAAGACTGTTTTTGCACCATACCTTTACACCCTGATGATACACCTCGGTTTGCCTTTTCTGTGCCTACCTTGAATCATGCAGAAACAATGAAGAGATTTCATTGGACAGTGCTGCCACAAGGCAAGTGTAACAACCCAACTATATGCCAAAGAGTGGGTGATCTTGACCTATAGCCTGTCCATTGTAAATTTCCTGCTGCAACCATATATCATTATATGAATGACATTTTACTTGCAGCTCATGATCAATCCGTCTTATGTTCTATTCAGGTAGCTGTCATGCAGGCAATTCAAGATGCAGGACTAATCGTGGCACCTGAAAAGGTGCAGCATGAATCCCCATGGCATTATCTGGGGTGGAGAATTATTCAACAGACCATCAGCCCTCAGCCTTTAAGGCATTTTGTTAAAGACACCTTAACTTTAAATGAATTACAGAAACTGCTAGGTTCTTTGAATTGGCTGTGGCCTGTTTTGAGTCTATCCACAAAACTTTTGCACTCTTTATTTGACTTACTCAGAGGAAACCCTCATCTGCATTCGTGTTGACAGCTGACCCCAGAAACTAAAACTGCCCTTGCACACTCAAGCACTAGAAAAAACATCAAAATTGGAGGTGGGATCCTGCTAAATCTGTGTGCCTTGCCATAATTGCTAGCAAATGTCAGCCTTTGCTGTTCTGTTTCAATGGTTTGCTAATGATAAAGACCCTTTACATGTGTTAGAATGGCTATTCTCACAGTGGCAAAGGCTGTGTGGACTGTTAATGGTATGTTCTCTTATTTAGTTAAGAAAGGCAGAGAGCAACTACAGACTCTCAACGGCCAAGATCCACATACCATCTAAATACTTGCACGTAAAGACAATTTGTCATGGTTGCTATCAGAAGACACTAACTTTCAAATTGTACTTGCAGATTTTTCTGGACAGTTATCTACCCTCACATTGTTTATGGATGGAGATGGGTAACCCCCCCTTGTATGCAAAACTTTGCTGCAGCATGACCCCTGTCAACAAACCAACTGTTTTTACAGATTAATCCAGTAAAACCAACAAAGCTGTAGTGGTTTGGCATGTAGATGACCCTGTTCAGTGGCATAAGAGGGTATTAACATTAAAAGATGCTTCCATGCAAATTTTGGAATTGGTCACTATTTGATATGCCTTTCAGTTATACTCACAGGAACCACGTAACATCTTAACTGAGTTCTGATATGCTGCCAGTGTGGTATTCCAATTAGAATCTTCCTATTTAAAACATGTTAACAAGCATCTTTTGTTTACAGAGTTGAGAGCATTGTAGACCTTGATTAACAGCTGGCAGCATGAATTTTATGTGTTACATGTTCACTTCCACACAGGTTTACCTGGCCCATAGGTAACAGCTATGCAGATACCACTGTGATGAGAGGTGTGGTACCAAATACTTTTGCACAAGCCAGATTATCTCACGACTTTTTCCACCAGAATGCTTGCTCTCTTCACAAGCAATTTCAATTAACATCCTCACAGGCTCGTGAGGTATAAAAAGGGGGCGATTTCTGCAATAATTTGATCTTTGGATGCATAAAGGGGGTCTGTGTCGCTTTGTTCCCCATTGCTACACATTCTGAATACCTTGTTCTGGACCACATGTGGTTAGGAATGATGGACACAAGAGCATAGGACATCACATTATAAGAAGGAGGCTTCCTGTAGAGAAAGTGGATTTAATCTCTCACTTCCACATGAACATAGCATTTGTCTAGCCTAGTGCTGAAGCTGTGCTATGGGAAGGCCTTGACCAGGGGGTTCTTTAGAGTGGCTCCTGAAATGTTAAAACCATAACTTCAACACCAAGTTGGCACCTTGTCTTTGGCATGTTTCTTTAACAAATATTAACAGGTATTGAATTAGATCTGCGTGTGAGTGGCTCTGACACATCTGGAAATGTTTGTGTATATCTGGGTGGATTTGAGTACTAGAGAAGGCTTTTGCAAGTGCTGTTTGCTGCAACACGTCTTGAAGGAGACATTTGATCCTTCCAATTTTTTATGGTTAAATACTGCAATGCATAGACTTGAAAATCAGTCAGCAGTTGTTATACGCCTTTGACCCAACATTTTGCATAATTAAGTCACTGGTTTTTTGGATTTTTTTTCCTAAAAGCAGGTCAGGATATGTCTTCTTTAAATACGTAATCTCATTTTGAAAACTTCAGACATTAATAAGTTGACCATCTGTCCTGGTAAACTGTTCTATAGTTCATTTACTAACACCATTGGGAAATTTTACTGAGAAGTGAAGGTTGGAATTCCTACAGTTAAGACTGTCAGGTCTTAACTTATGTGCAAGTTTGAAATGTGGCCTTAGTCATTGTGACAGCTCTCAACCATATTGCTGAGCCAGGTGACCTCTGCCATCCTCACATGTAAGATTTACTTGGTTTTGTTTTGCCCAGATCAGGGATCAGTTCTTTGGCCTTCTTTTGAACTCTGTCTCATGTATTCACTTCCTCCTTGAAGTGTGGCTGGCAGGGCTGCACACAGGGTTGGACAGAAGCCTTGCTAGGACTATTTTACCTGTACCTCTCTTTGAGTGCCTATTTTGAAGCACCTGTCTCTGATGATCACAGAAGACAAATGAGCTCAGGAATTTGTTCCATGTCTAAATCTGTAAGTCACAGCCTTCAAAGCACGTCTGCTGCTTTAAGCCTGCAAACTGTTCTTTGCTCAGGTTAGTACCTTGGATTTAGTTGCATTGCAAAAGATTTTATTGTGGCTTTAGCTATGCTCCATAGAAATAACCTTCCCTTTTCACTACTGGGCACTGTATTGGTCTTTCTGTAATTATGTGCAAGAAGTTTCATGTTGCCTCACTCCCAAATAACAAACAGATAAAATTGCATTAGAATTTGGAAATAGAAATTTCTGCTTGTGTCTTTCTGTTGACAACTTTTTATTGAAATCTTTACAAGAACTGGATTTAATCCAAGATACTCTGTATCCTGATACTGTTCTTTTAATAGCCTTTATGTCTTTCAATGTCAAAATGTTGGATCCTACTTTCTGCAACAAACAATGGACATGATCTGCACGGTTGCTTCCAGAGATGCCTTTTTACTGCATGAAACACTATATAGTCCTCTGTGTTGTCTCATCTCTGCTTCTTTGGAGGTTGCTTACCCTTCCTCATTTGCTTACCACTAGTTTCTATGCTCTGTCTATTCTTTATGAATCTGCATGTCTTTCTGATATTTCTGCTCTATATCTTCTTTGGGATAGTTTCGGGTTTGTTTTTTCACAAGCATAACTCTCTAAGTTTTAGAGAAACCTTTTGGCGTGCAATAGGTTCCTTTTAAACAATTCTCTGTTTTGTATCATGCCTCTCACTCTTCTCTTTTTTTTTTTAGGCCCATATGCCAGCAGTTGTACAGACTATAAACACCAGGCAATTATGTATATACTGATTTTGAAACAAAGTCAATGTGACTAGATAGTGACCATTAATAATTAGGTTGTACCTTTTAAGTTATTAATTATCTCTTTTCACTCATTAAAGCAAGTTTCAACATTGAGATATTACATGTAGGGTTTTAGAATTTTGTATTTTAAGAAATCACCTGGACTACAGGTATAATCTGCAAGCGTTCAAGGTCAGTGATTGAGCCACCTGTAATCTCATGAGCATCTCTAATATAAAATATTACATTCCTTCAACTCTCCCCATTCATGATACCCTTTCAAACCAAGTTGTTACAGTATTAATGTTGCAGCTATATTTCCCTTCCTATGAGTTTTCAATAGTTACGGCCTGTCAGTATTTCCTGATACATAAGTGGTTCTTCCTTTTTGTTTGTTTGTTTGTTTGGCATCTAGTGCTTAGTAGTTAGCTCTTCTAAGTATTTTTTTCCTTGGGGAAATTACAGATATTTGTTTGGACTTGTGCAGCATTACAAGGCTGTGTCTGTGAGATGAAGGAGAAGGCACAGGGATGCTTGAGTGCTCAGGCTGTTTCTCTTGGCCATCTTTCCAATCCTTACTAGAAACACAAGCTTGGAGACACCCTTCCCAGCCTTTGGCATCATCCCAGCCCTTAAAGTCCGGAAATCCAGGCTGTCCTTCTCAGAAGCTAGTTTCTAAGCTATTGAATCCCTTCTGACTGACCTCTTGGTTTTCCTGTGCTGCTGCAGTTTGCTACGAGGCTGAAGACTAAGGATACTTAGCAGCATGTTTTCTCAGATGCTCCAGGTTTGCCCACAAAAACAGAGTGACTGCTGAAAAGTACCTTCCATCCTGACCATACAGCGTTTTGCCTTCCTTCTCTCAGATGTTGGAGACATCTGGTTATTACTTCCAGCCTCAAACCCCAGAGTTCCTCCAAGATGTATGTCAGGACAAAAGGGGTTTCTTTTGCAGGACCCCATTTTGAGTGTTTCTCACAGTGTTTCTGACAGTGCTTTTTGTATTTGCTTTCAAGGGACTTTAAATTGTCTGGCCCTCATGCTTATCCTAGTGGA